TCTCCTAGATGTGGGTGGGCACAGCCTGGAAATAGTTACCAGAAGCTCCTGACTCCATGGGTGCTCTGTTAACACAGTGTGCAAACAGTTTCTGCTGGTGGCCTTGGAGAGCTGCAGGTGGAAAAGACCAAATGTCAGATATATACCCCTTAGCACAGGGGTATGTACAAAAGTAAAAATCACTTATGGGAGCTCAAGAAAAAGTGTTTATTTGGACCAAGAATGAGGATTTAGAAAAAATCCTCAAAGAGCTTTTATAGGAAGAGACACTTAGAGACGTGTTTTGAGACTATAAGAATATATCTTTCGGTTATGTCAAGTGCATTACCCATGAGATCACACGTAACCCACATGTGTTGTGCTCAATTTCAAAATGCAATGGGAGAGCAACAAAAAATAAACTTGGAGAACAAGACAGTTTTACCCGGAGTTGGTCTTTCAACATAAATTGAGGATTAGTAAATACCAATTTAGAGACAAATCTTTGTTGCTTGAAGCAACAAAAATAAAAACATTGCATTCTTTCGCTAACAGAAAATTAATTTTTTTATTTAACACTATTGTCACTAACATAAACAAAATGTGGCACAACTGCAAAGAATTGTAGTTCATGTTGCACTAGCTTTCTTTGCTACAATGGCTCTGAGAAGCATCACTGTAATCAGCTATTCCAAAAGCACAAGATTTTAAAGAGGTATTTAAGACAAGGGTTTTTTTTTTTTTGGTTTTTGGTTTTGTGTTGTTTTGTTTTGTTTGGCAAATGAGTATGAATTTTGCTGCTTATTTAAAAACAAAACCAACAAAAAACAAAAAACTAGATGGCTTGCACCAGTGAAAGGCACCGCCTACAGCCTGAGAAATAACGCTTGTAATTCTTTAAGTTTTGAGACACAGACCTAGAAGATGTTGACCATCCCTTTCTTACAGCCCTATGCCTTTAATGTCAAGGTTGTTACAACTGCAAAGCAAATCTGTGAGGGGAGTTTCGCGAGTTTAAAACTCTTAAAAGTGCAGTCTCACTAGGGAGAGAGGTTTGGAAATAAAGGGATAAGCTAATTATTTATAATTAGGTCAGACTGGGTAGGCTGATTGCCATAATTAACACTGCCTAATTACTGTACTCAGGGATTTTTACTTGGATACACCAGGTGAAATCTGGTAAGAACGGATATCTATTCTGCTCTGCCAGCGCGAGAGCACTTGGAGCTCCGGCTGAGGCAGCCGGGACAGCAGGGACGTGCGTGGGAGGCTGGGAGCGTGGCGGGCTCAGCGCCGTGCGAGCTGGGAGCTGCAGGGAAATGTAGGTTAGTGTGCTGGAAGGCTGCGCCGGCCGCATTACGGCGAGCGCTCCCGGGAGGGAAGTGTGTGTGTGGGCTGGGGAAACACTCCCGAGGTAGCGGTGAGGGAGCTGGGTGATGCTTATAAGTAGTTGGAGATCTGTGCATCAAAGCTGCAGCATTCTTAATCGGAAAAGAATCTCTGGAAAATAGGGAAGGCGGATTCATGTGGCTCAGGTACCTACGGGGACTTCTTGCAGACTGTTAACCAGAGGTACACAGACTGTGCACGTAAATATTTCACATAGCAATCATGAGTCATGATGACTTCCCCTCCTATAGCGTCTTGCACCATTAGCTCAGACAAGGCCCTGTGGGATCCCATGCTGAGTCTACTAGAGGTGGTGCCTGACTGCACAGCAGTCTCCTACAGCTCAGTGTTCTCCTGCCCTTGTCTCCCTGAAGGAACATTTTCTTTCTTCAGCCTAGTTGCTCTCTCTGACCTTAGTTTTCTCTACAACATATATAAAATGAAGCTGAATGACAGCCAAGTGAGAGGGTGCAAGAAATAACTCACAGCATTAGGCCATTGAAAAGAACTGGAGACCAGGATACTCAGTAGATCTCTGAGAAAGAACAACATGCACATCTGGCACAAGCAAAAGTCCTGCCGTGGCCCTCACGCACCTTTCCACCTGGGTGTTCAAGATTTCCGCCTACAGCCACGCCTTGGCCTTTGCAAGCAACACCATGACAACAGTCCTCATTGGTACGGCGGGGAATGCTAGCTCAAAGGCCTTGTTGACCAAAGGGTAGCTGCCTGATGAGGAGTAGAAGATGTAAAAACCACTGACACAAACCATTTAGTAGACAGTAGGAGACAATGGCAGTGCCTCCATAGTGAAAGGGATGGAGTGGGCTGATTGGTGTTTCCCACCATTTAATACCACATATAGCTTAATAAAATATGCTTTTTCGGCTCCACAGACCTAAAGCTCAAATACTTTGAAGACTTCCAGGTCTTTCACAGTATTCAGTGCTATGGACAGGACAAATATACACAACAGTTTTTCTCTGATTTAAGCAATATCAATGCCTCTCTACTGCATCTTTGGAAATCTGACTGTGGTTTTCAATGTCAAAGTTACAGTGGTTGTCTGAGGTAACAAAATGGTGTGGCTGAAAGATCTGCAAGACTCACAACCAACCTGATGCAGAACCAAAAGGCTAGAACTTTGTTAAAAATGCAGGCACTTGACACTGATGTGCATTTTCAAATCACATATTGCTTTCATTGAAATATTCATGCCCAAGAAAAACTAACAAAAAACTTTATAAATATCAAAACATTTCATGTTGACAGGTCTTAAATACATCTCTGTTTTTGATTTGCATTAGTTTTCATTTGGAAGTTTCTCTCAAGTTTATGTAAACTTTCCCTCTGAACCACACAAAAGACTCCTTAAAATACTGAAATGCAAAATGAAGTGTTCATTTCAGATCAAAGTAAATGCTCAGATTTCCTGTTAAGCTCCCAATCCGTTCCTATTCCCTCCAAACTGTCTAAAAACATTGTTCTGATAAATCTGCCTTTTTTTTTTTTTCCAATTCCAAAAAGAACCAGTCAACCAACCAGTCAAATCTGAGGTGATTTGAACAGTGAGCCAATGCAGCCCGCTGTCATGGTGCTGTGGTTAGATATGGGCGTCTAAGACAAGAACAACTTTTTTAAATGTTGTCCATACCACATCCTTTGCAGCTCCGGTTAGGCACTCAGAAGGGCTTTTTGTCCTTGTCGCTCTGATGGTTGCTCGCCCCATGTTACTGCCAGTGTCTCAGCCATACATTTTTCAAAGCCCCATGGGACCGGTCTCAATTAGTCCCTTTTTGCCTTCTGCCTGTGTTAAACATTCCTGTTCCTGTTTCCTTCTTCCAAGGGAGGACTGTTGGGGCACAGAATTTTAATTACTGTGCTAGAGATGATGTTACCATTGACCCAATGGAAAACAATACAGTGTTGTCTTACCATTACAGAGCGTTTTAAAGAGGACCATTGTAACTGTGATTCACAGGTACAGCTGTCAGCCTGGAAATCCCACGCTGACACCAAGGGGTATGTAGCAGCCACTGGAGAAACTGTGAACTAAATGAATGAGTTCTATTGAAACTGGTGCTAAAAGAAAAGACTCATGCACTCTTAACCGGCACAAGATTGTTCATTATAAAAAAATAGTACCTCCACATTTTAAACTAATGATGACTTTTAGGCATGGTGTAATTATAGCACCAGTGGGAACCCATATGTCACTGAGTGCTCAAATGTAAAGGTTGTTCCTACAAAATGAAGCCATATATTCCCATTAATTGAAGCAGTTGATTTCCAGTTACACAATATTAGTTTTAATGGTGAGACAATTAGAAAGACTGTGAATTTCTTTTTGCTATTGATCTGTAGTGTTAAGGTGGCACACTTTTAACTGACCAAATTTGGTGAGAGGGTAACATTCATGCCAGCAGAGTTATATATATGGGTGACTCTTAGAGTTGCCATCCGTAAGTTAACATTAGAATAACCTTGATGGAATGGTAGTTTTGTCCTGTCAGCACAGCCTGCGCAGCTAGAGGATAAAGGATTAGCAAAAGAAATTTTGATGAGGGTATTTACTACTAATGACTGACTTCAGAATTGCCTTTTATCTGCAGCTTTTCAAAGAACTTTCCATTCATTAAGCCTTTGCAGAATTGGTAAAAGATACAGAAATGCAGATATCTTTGTGCTAAAACAGGCAGTATTACTTTGACAGTGAAGGGCAGCAGTATACACTAAACATTATGTAAAATTGGAATTGCACAATTTTACAGTGATGCTATCTCTTTGTTAATTAGAGAGTTTGACCAGGACAGGGGAACAGTCCTTCTTCTAAGAAAAATGATGTAGAATAATCAGGAAATAGTGCTCAGGGCTTCTGTTTTATATTATAGCAGAAAGACAGATGCAATTTATGCAGTGATATAAAAAAATTAAATAAAGTTAAGAACACAAATGACACCTGTTTTCTTATTGTAATGAAATCTGATTCCCAAAGTGCCAACCCCAAGAGATAAAAAACAGTGAGTCAGGCCTTCTGAAGTGATGAGCTGAAAACACTGAGATTTTAAAAAATAATAAATGTTGGGCCTTTATTTTTTAAGCATTTTGTCAGATTTCCATTCCTCTGCAACCAAAAGGAATAGAAATCGGAGAGGTGTGGGGGGGGAGAGAAAAAAATAATAACAAGCTGCATCTATTGAGATGTCCAGTCTAGCAACAGGCTGGAGAAACGGATATTTGAAGATTGTTACGATGGGGTGATGGTAAAGCAATGCGCTGTTTTTGGTATTACTCTTTCTTTTTAAAACTACAGTAGTTACTACTATTTAAATAATTAGCTAAGATTTAGTGTTTAAATTTCTGGTTGCTCAAAGTGCCATAGAGCTCAACAGTTGCTATAGGAGCAATGTTTAAAGGATATCAATACAATTAGTAAGTCCTACAAAAACACGTAATTTAATAGCATATAACTGAAGGCTGCCAAAATATACAGTAATCTGTTGGAAATCCAAAGTTATATGCACATGTGTCAGTGTGAGTCAATGATATGTACATTAAAAAGAAGTAGAAACATTTTTGCTTGGAAATTCATCGTGCAACAAGCCTCACAGTATCTCTGAATATTTTTAAAGGGTAAGATGTAAAAGACAACAGACAGGATCACTTTCAGAATCAGCCATGAACTGGTCAAAGGGATACAGGATTTTCGTTTTGCATCTGTGAGAGCACATCCCTGCAGTGATCAGAAGATTCAGTAAGAATGGGCGTCATCACAGTGAGTAAAACATTGCATCTAATTTGGGCAGCTTCCAGAAAATTTTGTTATTTAGTTCATTTTCTTATTGCTTTATCATTTCAGCTCATTAAACCAGCCAGAAATCAAATGAATGTCAAAAAAAAAAAAAAAAATCTGCCACTTAAAAGGCACAGAAGGTCGGATGAGCACAAGAGATGGTACAAGGAGACTGGGGGGTGAACAGCGGGCACGCACTGGAAGGCTTTTAGCAGCTCCCCCAGAACTACCCCAGTGGTTTCTAGAAGGAACCTATGGAAATCTGTTCTTTCATTCTGGGTGGGTGTGAAAACCCCTACTAATTTAGTGTAATGGCCTAGCCATGTCAATAATTATTATAATAAGGTTGTAATAAGAACATAAATGAAGTCTGTTCTAGGTAACATTGCTTGGCAGTGCATAGGAGGTCTTTTTTGTTGTTTCACGGCGCTGTAAAGCTGTAAATTTGTTGATTAAGGAATCACTCTTTAAACAAGAACATGCACTCTTGCTCCCTGGTAGCGTGCGGCAAGCTAGATTTCAGTTTGCAGTGGTCATGCTGGTTAAAATATTTCCATTCTGCAGTGTTAATCTATTCTTTAATAGCCTGGCTCTGGCCATTGAAATTCACTGTAGGATTTTTTTCCACACAGTTTGATTCACAGCATTTTCAATTATTTAGATAGGAAACAAACAAACAAGCAAACAAAAAATTGCTTAGTTCCACAAGAAGTAGGAAACTTTAAAATAGGTTCATGGAGCACAGCTTAGCTTGAAAGGAGAATCTTGGGAAATGCTTTGAAAAAAGGGCACTTCAGATTTAGGGTTCTTTTGAAGCCTGTACTAGGCACCAACACAACAACTTTGAAGTCTCTTAAATGCTTCCTTTATATGCTATTGGCACACAGCTCAGTTAAAACACTCAGCTAATTTTTAATCAGAGATATGAAAAAGCATATAATAAGCATGCGGATTTCTCTTATAAGGCTTGTTGCCTATGGAAGTGCTGCTGAAATGGGCAGCTACATTTCTATCACTTAATGTGACTGTTGTAACCGCATGGCCACAAATGGTGTGGGTCTTCAGCTGAGAGCTGACATCTCTATAGAACATCTGTTAAGAGAATAATGTATTTCTACAGACCTCCTCCCCAGAAAGTAAGAATAAAACGGTATCACAAAGCAATTCCATTATTTTATCTTTACTGACAGAAGAATAAAAAAAAAAAAGAAGGAAGTTTAAAAAATGTTTCCAGCAAAACTAGTTCCAGTGTTTTGGTCAGTAGAGGGAAAACAAATACTCAGACAACTGGAAATTGACTAAGTGGACATGAGGAAAACATGATTGTAACTAATTTACTTTGAGTGTGACACTTATTGTCACTGTTCCCTGACTTCTGAAACTGAGCAATGCAGGTTTGTAAAATGTCTGTGATTTCTTGACATGAGAAAACTTGCTTAAACTCCTTTAAAATAAACAGAAATGTTATTGTGTTGAATAATACTGAGCCCACTCCCATCCTGTTTTAACTCTCATTGTAGCCAACTCTGTGCTCACAGTCATCTGTGGGGGCTGATGCAGAGTCTGGGCAGGGTATGGGGAGGAGGGGTGTATTTGTTGCCCAGACTCTTTAAAGAATTTAGCTGCCAAGTACTAACAGGTCTTTTCTAAGCATCTGCAAACTGAGACTTTTTTTTCCCCCTCTGAAGCTTATATGTTTTCTACATTTGGATGGGTTTTCTCAGGGAGAGCTAAGTGTAAATCAGTGACGACATGGTTATCCTCCTGCCAGGTTCCACATCCCTGTTCCAAATCATAGCCATGCTGAAACTTCATAACAAAAGCTGTTGTCAGTATTCTTTTAATCTTGGCTCTGAATTTTCACTGAAACTTTTCAACTCTGCTCCTTTGAAAACTTAACGTTTTTGAAAGCATTAACCCAGGGAAAAAAAAAAAAAAGAATGTGAGTGTGTTTGTTTCGGAGGTGGATATCACAGTGTGTAGTTGTGGTGCTGTCTACAGTGTTATTTCGTTAGGACAGTTCAACAGGGTTTTCAAAGGTGTCTTACGCCAATGCAAATGTTTGAAAAATAATTAAACTACTAAATCTTTTTTTAAAAATGCCTATTTATTTTGTAAGCTTTTGACATATGGACTTAAATATCAGTATCAAAGTCCTCTATTTCACCTATCTCATTACAGAAGTATATGTGACAGTTATAAGAATATAAGGGTTATGTAAAATTGCATCCACTATTTATGTATTATTGTATCCAACACATATGTCCTTTCCATATGGGATGTTCTCACTGTACAGAACATGGTCGGTTCCAAGTATAACTCAACAGAAGCATTCAACCTTTGATTTTAAAACTGTTATCATCTCCACTTCAACAACCCACGTTGAAAGGAAATTCCAGATTGTGGGGGGGAAATGGCTGCCAATCTGAATAAGGAGGAACATCGTCAGATGGCAGGGAAGTATTTGTACTAGTTGTATTAACAGAAGCAGTGACCTTTACACACTCCAAAACAAGCCATATGGGCCTTGGATCACAGCAACCGTTTGTCAAGCAAAACTCCTGAATCATTTCAAGCAGTGTTCAAACACATAAGAAGCCTGAACACAAAATGCTCTTCTAAAATGTATTTCTGAAAGAGGGAGTTGCATCAGATTTTTAGGTAACAGCCATTTAAACCTTCAAATCCTAGGACAAATTTTTTGGCATAAATGTTGGCCCATCCATTGTTTGGGATGGAAAGCAGATGGGCTGCATTTTAGAGTTGCAGTAAGACTCCAAATTCAATTCTGTGGCTTGCTCTTAGGAGAGTTAATGAAAGTTGAATAATATGTACTGGCAGCCCCTAAAACCTTCTGTGTTTTCCTTTTTCTTTTCTTTGGCAGGATGAGACTATTCTGCATTAAATTTGCATATGGCCATCTTTTCCCCTAGCATATCTGTAGTGATTCTTCTGGCCTTTTTGTTGATCAGTGTGGTCCCTAAACTCCACAGACTTTTCCCTCATTGCTCAGGCAATCTCAATGCTCCTTAAACCTCCTACAAGCAAACCAGGAGGACCTGCAGAAGTGAGCAATGATTTAGTATTTATCCTGTTAATTCATCAAACAGGTGAGTGTGATACTACGCTCCTCCATGACAACAGTGATCTTTAACTGAAACAAATTAAATCTGTACCGTAAATTTTCTTAATGGAAAGTAATACGCTGAGTGCTGGATGCTGGTGGCAAAGGTATTAATGGAGTACACAGGGTGGCAAGCAGAATACATTTTAAATGTAATCTGAAGAAGAGCAAGAAAGAAAATAGCATTTTTCAGGAAAATAAATAAAAATTTAGAGAGAGAGAGGCCAAATTGTGCATCTTTCTAGTTGAGTAGCATGAATAGAAAGTGTGTGTGTGTTGGGGGGGGGGGGGGCATGTCTCTGTGTGTGTTGGGGGTGAGACGTATGCAGAACTGCCTGGAGATCTCAAAGAGCTGAGGTGTTCATTTGTCAGAAAGTCAAGTCTAATAACACAACTCAAACAATAAAGTCTTCTGAGTTTAAATAATTTCAGGGTTCAAAAATGACAGACAATGACTAATACTGTTGTTTCTGAGAAAGATATAGAAACTCTTTGGCAGATAAATAACTGAATTTGGCCCACTAAGTTCAACAATCTTTTACCTGCTGGACACCCCACTTCAATGCTATTCAGCTGTGAATGAGAAAGCTTTCATGATCTGAGCGCTTAAAGGATGTATGATGCTTTATAGCAGTGCTCTGCTCTGCCCCCCCCACTGCTGTGACATCGGAGGCGTGTTAACCAACAGGGCAGACCTGACCACAACACAACTGGAAAGGAGCCTGGCAGAGAGCCAAGGAACATTTTCTGGGGGTCCGTCACTATTTCTAAAGATGAGTAGGATTATGAGAGAAAGGGATTCTAAAAGCTGCAAGGTTATATTTGAAATCAGCAATGGTCTAGATCCTTCAAAATGTCACACTGCCAGGTCTCCTGAATGGGGGCCTTCAATCTGCTGCACCTCAGAACAGCTGTTTGTTTTTTTTTTTTTTCAATAGCACAGCTGATGCAAATAGCACAGGTAATACAAAGCAAACCTTTTCCCCACTTTGCCTTGTCTCCCATGCCTGTGCTTTGGTGTCGGGTCTCTGTCATGGCAAAGTGGTGGCTGGAGAATGGAGACCAAGGAGAGCATTGAGAACTGAGCCCCTTTTGTACCTTCATTCATGCTCAGATTAGCTTCATTGTCTTGTAGGCTTCTTTTTCACTTCATATATCACTGCATACCAGTCAGCCACAAAATGGTCTGAATCTTTTTTTCCTCCTGCTCTTCGCTGTAACACCTTTCAAGACAAATAGTGAAGTAGGGGTTCCCTGCTACCTTGGCTTCAGCACCTCTTTTGCTGCCTCTCCTTTACGTGCATGCTGCCTTCATAGAAATGCTTCTCATCTACTTCTTGACTCCCAGAACTGAAACGAGGCCTGGGGATTGGGGGGTGTTGTGTTTTTTTTCGATGCAGTTGGTCACAGCACATTGCTAATGCGGCAGCTCCAGCTCTGCCTTTGGCACAGCCACACTGCCCCAAGATGGTGCTGCCTGAAGCATCAGTCCCACGTGGGTGCCCTGTGCCAGGGGGAGCCCTGAATCGCTCATCCGTCAGTGAATATTGCAGTTTGTGATGCCCAGGAATATCTCATAAATTTTGCCCTTAGACTCTGCAGCCAACACAAATTGGTAGCAAAGAATGATAAAGCCTGAGGCTTATGAGGAAGGTCACAAGAAAGGACATACTCTGGGCTATAGGAGACAGATTATTACAGTAACCTTCTTGCTGCCAAATAAACAGAACAGCTGACTGTTGCTGAAATTTGGTTCACCTTTTGTACGTGCAATGGGAAGGGGCCACTTCTGCAATGAATCGCTGTCATGTTGCTTCATGCACTGAGCTGGGAGGGTTAGTTTAGGTTCTGAACTTCA